GCCCCAGACCCGAATGCAGCTTCCTAGGCGGCAACCGAGGCATTAGTCAGGGTGGAGTCTTCCCTCCACTCTTGGCTGTGGAAGAATCCTGCTCTAGAACCACCCAGAGAGCTGGCAGAATCTCTGTCTTCACAGCTGTGGGCTTCAAAGCCCTCACTTTTCACACGGTGTTGCTGGACCCTGCCTGGACTCCCCAAGGCCACCCTCAGCTCTTTGCCTTGCAGGGCCACAGTATGGCTACTTTTCCCTTCACAGTCAGTTGGGAGCAAAGCCTTCAGAACAGGGCAGGCCTCCAGACAGAGCCTTATACAGTAGTATTCAATCATGGTGGCATCTTACATTCACTAGTGAGCAACAAGGCACAGTCTCAGCCCACGTTTCAATGGTGTGACCACAGAGGACCATGCTAGACACTGTTTCCTCTACCCTGTAACAAGCTCAAGGTTCTCACGACCCACAGGCCCTGCTGTCCCTTCCCTAAGCAACATGCTCCTGCTTGCTTCTCCACAGGCCTTTGTTCCACACACATCAAACCTCAGGGAAGACAGCACATGGGTTTCCCATCTTGCTAGCCATGGTGATTTGTCAGGGCCTCACCCAGCCCTTAAACTTTCCTCTTAAGAATGGTCTCCCTCACCCCCACTCCCCCCAAAAAAAAGAATGGTCTCCCAGCCATCAAACCTACTATTCTTTCTTCATGGTCCAAATGTTACAAGCCACTAAAGCTGGAAATTGATCATATGTAGGAGGGCAGGATGAGGCCTCATTATCTAAAGCAGTCAAGCTACCTCAGTCTTGAGAAAAGCATCCTGCCTGAGAATTGGGGGCTATTAGTTGCTAGGCAACCTTGTGTCTTGCAACTTTGTAAAAGTATAAACAAAGGCCCTTACTATTGTTCAGGGGTTGTTTTCCCAACCAGGGAGATGAGCCACCACCTAACCCAGCTCTTACCTTCTTGTCTATATTTTCCTCAATTTTGCCACTGGTTCTCCCCAGGTACAATGGATCACAGAGAGACAGACAGATCCCTATAACCCGCCTCTCTGAGTAGCTCTTCTTTCCAGTCTGTCATCTGTTTGCCAAGTCCTGGGGTGTGGAGGACCACCTGAGCAGCTCTCATTGAAAGTAGAGCAATTAATTTCATTTTGGCTGAGCCTGATTCTATTTCCTTGTATTGATATATACAGAGCTGGCTAGGACTTCTCCTCATCCTTTCAGTTGGCCTTAAGCAATGTATATTGGTCTAGCCGAGGTGCAGGTGATAATTTTGAAGACAGCATCATGTTTCCCTGATAACTCACACCTCTTGCTCTCCAATATGAGCTGGGTTGAGACAGAAGGAAGAGTCAGTGCTCCACATTGTCAGCTGGGATTGAGCCTTGAGATAGAGGCTATGACTTCCTGGGGCTTAAAAGATTACGCATCTTGGGGGCTAGGGAGATGGCTCATTGGAATAAGTGCTTTGCTGGCAAGCACAAGGGGCTGAGTTCAATCCCCGGTTCCGGAAAAAAAAAAATTATATATCAGAGCTGAAACACCAGACCCTTGAAACATTAGGTACTATCTCAATAGCATAATCTCTGCATATGGCAGAGGTAAATGCAGGCCATCCACCTAGCCCAGCTCACAGTAATCACCTAATTCCCACAATTCTCTTCTTCAAGCCACTCCTCCTACTTGGCTGAATAAAACCCTGAATGCCTCCCTAGGTCGCTCTCTTTGTTCCGAAAAGCCATCTTCATGACTGGACTTAGGGCACCTTGGCTCCCCAATAATTATATATATATATATATATATATATATATATATATGTCTTAGTGTCTTTGTTTTCGCCGTGGGTTGTACTAGGAGTGGTAGATTGGAATTAACTTGGTGGGATTCCAATAACGTATTTTTGGGATTGTAAGTATACACTTCTGGGGCTGAGATGAGAACCAGGAGGGGACTCCTACACTGGGGCTTCTCTTGTTCGTTCCTTACTCCCATGGAGCTGTTTCTCAGAATTCTTGCTCTACTCTCTCAACTGCCAGTATTCCTTAGGCTTCAGTTGTGTTCTTATACCACACACGCTTTCTGCAGAGTGCATACTGCCCGGAATCCATTAACATTTGTGGAACCAGGGATTGAACTCACACCCTTGCACTTGCCAGGCAAGCACTTATTCTACTGAGCCACCTCCCTGGCTCCTCCATTAACATTTACTAGAGCAACAGATTCAACATCATATATGATATGTAAGGGATTTACCAATTATGCCTACGGTGTCTGCCCACAGAATCAGAGGTGAAAGACTGCAAAATAGCCACCCGGGAGCTGGGCAGTGAACTGGAGGGTCCACCAAAAGGCAAAGGTCAGGGGCTCACTGCAGGGTCTGGTGGGATTCCCTGTAAGAAAGCAGAAGGCCCATGTCTGCGTCTGTGCTAGAACCCTGAAGACACTGGAGCCTCCCGAGGTCATTATATTACTGAACTAGATACATGTACATCCTCTTACCTAATCACTAATGTTAAGCATTTTTTTAAAAATCAGATTTCTTCTGGCCAACTTATAAATCCCAGATGTAAGGCCTGTCAAGGATAAAAGGGTAGACGCATAAGAGGTAAAGTATTTTAATTGGTCCATATTTTATTAACCACTCTAAAAAGGCCTTATTCTCACAATTAGCTCAGTCAATTAACAGACAAGGACATGCAGGCTGTCAAGAGCCTCACACCAGAGATAAGGCTCTGGGATAAGAGATGCGTGCTAAATAAGTCTTCCTGAGTTACAGTCCTGGGAGTAAAACATGTCTACAGAAATAAATGCAGAGGGAGTTGGGTGGATTGGCAACTGGTGGCTAATTTGTAACATCCAGCTGAACTGGACCAGCGTGGTGGTGGGTGTAGGAGCCCCATGTAACAATTGTTGCTGGCAGCATAAGAGGCAGCACTGGACAGGAAGAATTTTAGAAGCTGTAGGGAGTTGCTGGGAAGCTGTTAGGCAGCTGCTGGTTTCCTTGCACCATTCTGATGGAGGAACTTGTCCCGCTGGCTTTCCTGATGAATTTTGCTGTTCCCATTGGAGGAGGAGCTCCGGACCTTGTTACTGAGAGTGGCTAGGCTCACTCTGGGGGAGCTCTGGCCTTCACTTTGAGCCTTGCTTCCTGGCTCCAGAGGGGAAGATGGTGCATATCTCAGTGCCATCCTGAAGCAACTTGTCATGTTGACTTTCCTGATGGGAACTCGGCTTTTCTCATCTCAGAAGAGCTCCAAACCTTGCTGTTACTGAGGATGGCTGTGTTACTTTTGGGAAGCTCTATTGTAATGGCCGAATGACACTGAGCAGAGATAAGCCCCACAAAAATGAGGCGTGCATAGGGAAAAGAAAGTTTGGCTGCTCAGGACCAGGACCCTGACTTTGGGTCAGGACTCCTAAATTGTCAGTACTGGCCTGAACTTCGGTTTCAGGTTACATACTTTTTAGGTATCCATAGCAACCACATCTCCACACTCAGGATTGTTGCAGAATTGTCACACAATTGTTACATGGTTTGCATTCTTACATTTTCCAAGCACTGTAGACCACTGCCCATCACACCATATTGCTTAATTCTCAAGCTGTTTTGTTTGTTCCCTTTTTTATGGCCTTGTTTTCCTCAGTAGGATCATTACAGGGGAGGTGAGGGAATGAGTTAATCCACAGCTTAAGTGAATTTAAGTGATTTGTGTTAAAATGGAATCTCTCTTGCCCTATCACTAGTTCTTACTGTGATTTTTTAAAAAATTTTATTTTTAGGGAAGGGTCTACAGGGTGGTGAGGGTCTCACTACTAGATCAGACCCATAGTGCTCTGCCTGTTTACAGCCTCCCAAGAGCTGGGATTACAGGGTTGCGCCACTACGCCCAGTCTCAATTGCCATCTCAGCGTGCCCTGGGGTCAAGGCCAGCACAGCAGGCTAGTCCTTACCTTGAGCGTTCTTCCTGGCTCCAGTGTACATCCCTCAGCCTGGTAACACAGATCTTTCATCCTATTGCACAGACTTTCTAGCTTCTATCACTGGCCACTGGTCCTTCCCAGCACAGATCTGAGAAATGGACCTGCATGAGGCTTTGTTGTGGGTTCTGGGCCTCCAGTTGGACTCGTGGCAGGTGTTGTTAGGAGACCTAGCTCTTCAGCTGGACTCATGCAGGGCATTACTGTGGGGCCCAGACCCTTGCTGGATCCTTCGGTCTTTAGTGTGTGGACAGATTTCCTGCGTTCTTTTTTTGTATATGATTCTTTGAGTTACTGTTATAATCTCCTGTATTATGTTGTTCCTCTTGCAAAACTCAAAACTATGACAGGGAGGAAAGGGCAAAAGAGGAAAGAAGAGGAGGCAAAAAAACAAGCGTGGGCTGAGATAGATCACTGGATCAGACCCATAGTGATCCCCCTGCTTACAGCCTCCCAAGAGCTGGGATTACAGGCGTGCGCCACCATGCCCAATCTCAATCGCGCTCTCAGCGCGCCCAGGGGTCGGGGCAGGCATGGCAGGCTAGCTCTTGCCTGTGCAGCCTGTGCAGCCCGGATCCCCGGCTGTGAGAGATGCGCGGAAGGATTCCTGCAAGTTAGGGATGAAAGCACACCGCTTGCCAACTGCAGTGTGCCTGACTGTGCATCCAGGCAGCCCCGTGCAAGACTGTGTGTTAAATCCTTGCTTTTACTGCTTCTGGAGTCGAACTTTCTTTTTTGCCCAGACAAGAAAATTCATTAAATGGGGGGGGGGGGAAGGGCAATGTTTCTCATTTATTAGTGACAGGAAAAATAAAAAAGAAGGGTAGGGGTAAAAACAGGCACTGCAAACCGTTTGGACATGGGAATAAAATAAAAATACACCCTAGGAGCCAAGGTGTGCATAGTACACCTACACGCACAGTACCTGGGGCTGAGGCAGGTGGACCGCCATGAGGTTAAGGCCAGCACAAGCCTTCTACATGCAGGGCCAAACTGACACTTTCAAAAGTCAATGGAAAAAAAGTCAGTGGAGTAGTGATGATCTTCTCTCAACTTCAGCGCTCTCACTGATTACTGGACGATGAGCAAAGACCTGATATTCTTGTGTTCCTCAAGTACCATTTGAGTTGAAAGCGGGAAATAGGGTTAAAAGAAGTGTCTTTATTGCTGGCAGCTGGTTGGATGCTCCCTGGAGAATAAACGTGTCAATTTCAATAAAGTTCTACAAATTATCAAAACAAAGCAACAATCACAGCACACACACAGAGAGAGAGAGAGAGAGAGAGAGAGAGAGAGAGAGAGAGAGAGAGAAGTTTTTTTGTGTGCTTGTTTGCGCTTCACCACTTTAGCGACACTTTGGACATCTGAATGTGAAAGCAGCGACAGAGAAGCCGCTCCGTTCAGGAGAGCTTGGCTTTAGTTGCTTCTGAAGAAAAGGCAAAAGGCAAAAAAAAAAAAAAAAAGTTTTTAAAGCAGTTACCCCACTCTCCTTTCTTCTGGTCGGGGTCCTGGTCAGTCCACCCCTCTCACGGTTGTTTTGACCAGTGAACGAAGGCCTCAAGACTTTCTGTTTAGAAAGTCGATGAATCCTGTATCTTGCCACTTCAGGATTCTGTTGCATAAGTAAGGGAAAAGTTAGCTGCAACGTTAGTAAATTTTAGTTTCAAGGGGGTTAAAAAAATTGGTTTCAAAGCACTGAGGATAGTAGCAAGAAGCTTACCGCCAGAGCTGGGGATGTAGCTCAGTGGTAGAGCGCATGCTTCGCATGTATGAGGCCCCGGGTTCGATCCCCGGCATCTCCAGATGCTCGTTTTGTTCCGCAACACAAGAGATTCTGTGTGTACTGCAAACGCCGACTCGCTGTGCTTCCCGTCCTTAGTTTCATTTTCTATAAAAGTCTTTTAGCTGCTGTGTTCAAAATTGTACATGTGGCGAGGGGAACGCAATTCCATCGAGGTATTTTGAAATGCTTTTCTCTGAAACAAGTGGAGTTGGGATCTTAGAAAAACACTCCGAGGGCAGAGGTGGCAAGGGAACAGCCTGGAAAACTGGAACCTACTGATGCAGGTTGTGTGTGGCATCAGGCTGTCCTTAGGGCAGAAGTAATCTTAGTTTAAGAACACGGAAACAGGAAGGGAGTTTCGTTTTGTTTCTTAAAGGGATTGCTTTTTATCCTATGCATCACAGAACAAAAAAAATTAGGCAGCTATTAGGAAACGGGAGGAGAGGGACGTCACAATAACAATTAATTATTACAAAGGTCTAAACCGCTCTTGTATTATCGTGGCCGGTTAGCTCAGTTGGTTAGAGCGTGGTGCTAATAACGCCAAGGTCGCGGGTTCGATCCCCGTACGGGCCATTCACTTCTTTTTTTTTTTTTTTAATTTAGCCTATTAAACTGGGTACCGTTTTCTGAGGCAGAAAAACAAATTGTCCGAGGACTACGGTCGGAAACGGACAGCTAAATCTTCACAGGTACCGCTTTGCCACAAGTCCATCTGTCTTTGGTGGTCCAACCTCGCAAGTCGCAGTGCTCCAAAACACTTCTCCAGTGTGCCCTGGAGAAGCAGAAGGGCACCAGGCCTTCCTATGGGTAGACTGAACTCACTAAAAGGAAAAATGGGGTCATCGTTCTGCGCGGTGGCGTATTGGTCACGGCGGGGCGAGGTCAGCGTGAGCAGGAACTCTTGTCCCCGGGATCCCGCCCGAGGCCCGCTTGGGGGCACGCCCACACTTCGCCGAGAGACACCTTCCTGTGTTGACTTTGCAGCGTGGAAATCACGAAGCCCTCTCACAGGATGCTCGTTCCGTCTGTGCGCAGGTGCTGTCCGGGCCAGCGGAGGCCAGGGGCTCCGGGCTACCTAGGGCCACCTCTGGAGGTGTCCCCTGAGACTCCGCTCTTTCCCGACGGCGCCTATTTTCAGGACGTCCCTGTCGCTCCCTGCCCGTGCTGCGGGAACAGCTGACGTTCTCCATTTGCTCGTTCTCGCTTAGCTGCGTATTCCCGGGTCTGTCTCTTCCGTGGAAAATGCCGAAATCGAGCCACGAGCTCCAGGCGGGTTTGGAAACAGGACACGACCTTCGCGGGGCACCTGAGCGCCAGCTCCTGCGCGCACAGAAACGCTGCTGAATTTTCAGGCCTCGCCTTGAAAGGTGCAGTAGATTTGAGGAAGAACCTAGATTCCTGCTTTTTAAATCAACAACTATTGTTTCTCTTAGAAGAATGGGCCAAACCCTTTGAAGGGGATGGTTTAGGGTCCTAGGAGAGAATATTTGAGGGAACGCCTAGCCTAGAGCAGTTCCGAGAGTTGTACTGGTCCGACTTAATTTTAAAAGAAAAATAATTAAACGTACTATCGACTGTAAAGGAATACATCGACAAAAGAGATCTAATTAAATATTTAATATTCCTGCGGAGCCCTTCTGACGTGTGGCTCGTTGGTCTAGGGGTATGATTCTCGCTTAGGGTGCGAGAGGTCCCGGGTTCAAACCCCGGACGAGCCCAAGTTTTGAGCTTTCATGAACCACAACTCCCACTTTCCACTTTAGTATTTAAAAAGATGTTATACAAGTTGACTCTGCTGACCTCTATCTTCGCTTGTAGACACAGGTCCCTGTCAGGTTGGGTAGGCTCTGATCACAAATCCCCTGTAATAAAAATAGAAGCGATTTTGAATCCGTCTTTTTTTTCTGCTTTTAAAGTGTGTTTTGACAAGGCGAGTGCCTGCGGGTCAGCTGGAAGTCCACGCTCCTCCGCCGCGGTAGTGAGGCCGGATCGGGAGCGTCCTGTACGCGGGCGTCTGTCCCGTGCTGTGCTCAATGCATTTGTGAGAATAGCGTTAATGAAACAGGAAAATCGCGGGTTCGTGAGATACTTTTTTATGGAGATGTGATTCCGGTGTCAGCTCAGGAACTTGCTCGATATTTAGACTCCAAGCCCTGGTCCTATGTGCCACAGATCTCCGGGAAACGACCACAGGGAAAGTTCAAGTCCCTGGTTTCACAGTGTGAAAGGCGGGAGAAAGGCGCCCTGCAAGGGCGGGGGCGTTGAGGTGGACTTAGAAATTACTAAGCAGATTGGAAAAGCTCAGTAGGGTGAGCTCCTTGCGCCTGTTTGCTAGCAGTAGTGGAGCCTGTTTTATTTAATGCAAAAGACTGGAAGATAAACAACAACGAAAAAGCTTGCGCCCAACGTGGGGCTCGAACCCACGACCCTGAGATTAAGAGTCTCATGCTCTACCGACTGAGCTAGCCGGGCACCTGTAAAGCTTTGCTTTCCCCAGTGTATTAGTAGACTGACCCATGTCATTTCCTTTGAAAAATTCAAGAATGCCTGGTTTTAATTCTACCTGGTCAGCTAATTTAGTGTAATAGGTAAAGTGAGGTGAAATTGGACGAATGAAAATATTACAAGCAATTACTAATGTGCATTCCACCTGTTTATTTACGTTCCAGTTTCCTCCCAGGAATATCAATGATCTAAGCGACAGCAGGGTCTCTAGGCTTAGCAACTGTTTGAGCGACCTCAAAACAGCAGTCCTACAGCCCCAGGCCCCACTGGCAGCTCATCTCTGAGCATGGTTCCGAGCAGGCCAGTCCTGAAGCCCAGTCGCGGCCTAGGGCCCTCTGTGACCCTTGACCTTTAGGCTTGCCTGCTGTCCCTGAAAACCTCTGCCTCTTTTTGGCTGCAGTGTTAAGCCGGCCATAGAGGAACTCACACGACAAGGTTAGGCTTTTTGTTAAAAAGGCTGTGGAGGGGACAAGATGTCTTTTGAATCAATTGGTGAATACATTTTTATTAAGCATCTTTTCTGTTCTGGATGTTCAAAATGAAAACACAAAAAATTAAAATAAAAATAAAATGAAAACGCAGATACAACATGTACACACTACTCAGCTTCCAGGAAAGTTGCCATATACCTAGTGGGTGAATGAACTGATTTTACCAAGATAAAGGCCTTTGGTCTATATTAACCGTGTGGCATTGGGAAAGATGCTTGGAGTGACTGAAAAAATAGATGATGGCGATGATGTTGGATAATTTAAAAATTACCTGTTTACCAAGTGAAACCTAAACACAAAGACATTCATATAAGTAGTCTACGGACCACCGTGTGGGACTTTCAGACCACGTGTCGTGGTTCTTAGTAAACCTGACTCTGAATGAACTGCACGAGCTCTCACTGCTCATTACCAGGCTCTGCTTAGTACAGGTTTCCTGAGCACTGTAAGAACAAGAGATATCTGAAATAGTACAATATTGACGATCTTACTTAATTTTTTTAATATTGCTGATTTTAGTAATCACATGTCTTAATGTGAATGGCTTTACTAGATTTCTGCTTTAGTGTGTGTGTGTGTGTGTGTGTGTGTGTGTGTGTACATGCACTGAGGATTAAACGCAGAACAACATGCATGCTGGTTGAGTGAACTGCGTTTTTTCTATTTCTAAAAGTTCTTTGGCTGTATTCTTAAAATGGGTTGAAATACTTACTGACAATTGAACTTTCTCCTGAATCCAAGATCCATGACATCTTTCAGGCCAATCCCAGCCCTGAGCTTGGGTCAGACCATCTTCTAACCTGACTCTTCATGTAATGCTTACCTTAAAGTGCAGAGGAGTCCTCGATCAGAGAAGGCATGGGGACACGGGGATTGCCTTGATAGTCTGCTCAGGGTGCCCCAATGAAAGACTGGGTGGCTTAAACAAAAATACATTTTCTCATAGCTCCTTACTTCCATAGTTTGAGAGGCTTAAGGTAAAAGTGTTTTCTGACTTTGTTTCTGGGAGGTCTTTCTTCCTGGATGCCAGACAATCGTCTTCTTACTGCCGAGGAGAAAAAGAAGAGCAAAATCCTATTGGATCAGAACTCCAGCCTTTTGACCTCATTTAGTCTTAATTACTTCTTTACTCCTAAAACAGCCCCACTGAGGGCTAAAGCTGGAAATTTTAAGGAAACACAGTTCAGTCCTCAGCAGGAGGACAAGCTAACTGGACAACCAAAGTGTGACATTTTGGAATCGAGGGAGAACTGGTCTGGCACATGGTATGTGCTTGAATATGTTTTGAATGATTTAGCAGTATTCTCTTTTAGTATATGTTC